CACTCGGTGAGCTCTATCTTCGCCTTGAGTTTTACAAAGATGCTCTTCTGTATCAGGTATTTTGTCGATTTGGGTTTGTTTCGTTTAAGTGTTTTTTATGAATTGTTTTTGTCGGATTTCTGTATTTTTTTTCTTTCGGGTTTAAGAATGTCGAATATTGGAAGTTGGGTAGTTGGGTAGTTGTGGTTGTTTGATTGCTGAGAAATTTGGGGAAAATGAAAACAAAACGAGGGAATTGGGTGAGATTATAACCAACTTATTATATTGATAAGAAGGGTTGAGCTGAGTGGAGGGGTTTTGTTTTCTATGGGGTCTGTAAAGGAAGTAGTAGACTTGAACTTCAGCATCTGTTTGGTTGTTGAGAATGTGCATGAAAGTGAAGCGGGTGAAGAACTTTGAGTAAGTAGGGCTTAATATGTTGGGCGCACATTTGATTGTTTGAATTCTTGAATTGATCAGATTAAATAAAGGCCAGGTTAATCCCTACATTGACTACTTTCAAGTTTCTAGTCCGTTACAGAGTCTTAGCAAATACCCATTGAGATATCAAATGGTTCTACCTTTCTGTAGCCTTAATATTAGGTGAATAAATTGTTTGACATCTGTTATTCTGTAGAGAGATTTATTGAGAAATCATATAGTTTTGGATGTATGAGTGCTACTTTTGAGAACCAAATTGAGTCTTTACCTGTTGTCTCTGTTGCAGAAAAAACATTTAGAGCTCGCTGAGGATGCCAATAATCTCATTGAGCAGCAAAGGGCCAATACACAACTAGGTCGTACCTACCATGAAATGTTTTTAAGGTCTGACGATGACCATTATTCGGTTCAGAATGCCAAAAAGTATTTCAAGTCTGCTATGAAGCTTGCTCAGATTATCAAGGAGAATCCACCTACTAAGAATTGTTCTTTCCTCAAGGAATATATTGATGCACATAACAATATAGGAATGCTTGAGTTTGACCTTGATAATCCAGAAGAGGCTCGAAAAATCTTAACTAAAGGATTGGAGATTTGCGACGAAGAAGAGGTAATGGCAGACGATGATGGGCGCAGCAGGCTCCATCATAACCTTGGAAATGTTTACATGGAGCTAAGGATGTGGGATAATGCTCGGGAACACATTGAGAAGGACATTATGATATGTAAAAGAATTGGCCATTGCCAAGGGGAGGCAAAGGGGTACATCAATCTTGGTGAATTACATTACCGTATTCAGAAGTATGAGGAAGCACTCCTTTGCTACCAAAAAGCACGTGAACTGGCAAAATCAATGGAAGATGAGGATGCTTTACTCAGGCAGATTGATCAAAATATTGAAATTGTAAACGAAGCCATTAAAGTAATGGATGGGCTGAAGAAAGAAGAGCAGAATCTCAAAAAGCTAACAAGAGACATGGCCATTACAAGAGGCACACCGCGTGAGAGGAAGTGTCTGCTGCAGCAAAATGCTTCTCTTGATTGCCTCATAGAGAAATCAAGGACGATCTTTGCCTGGCTTAAGGTACATACTTGGCTCAATATGTTTTGTCTGCCTTTCCACCTTTTTTTAAAATGTATGTTGCTCTTCATAAGGAACAATGCTCCATCTTGTTGAGTTAGTCTCTTGTTTCTCTGTTATTCTTGTTATGCTATTAAAAGCTTTTCCTGTCATTATTGAAAAATTTCATATTTCAGCTCCTTGAATTTGCGAAAAGGAAGAAGATAATAGCGAGTGAGCTTTGTGACCAAGAAAAGCTGAGTGATTCTCTTTTGGTTATTGGAGAATCATACCAGAAGCTAAGAAAGTTCAAGAAAGCCCTTAAGTGGTACATGAAGAGTTGGGAAATATACAAGTCAATTGGTAATTTGGAGGTAAGTTGGTGTAGTTGGCCTTTTTTCTATAACATTATACAGTATGATGTGTAATTTAGTGTCCTTGACAGAGAAGTAACGTGGACATAAAACATGCTTAAATTAATTGTTAGTAGACTTTGGTAAGCTTGGTGCATGCTATATCATCTAACTAGAGATCGAGGTGGTCCTGCTGGGCAACGATGGGATTTCATTAATGTATATTGATGGTTGTACTGTACTTCTGTTGTTTGATAGATGCTGACTCAGAATTGTTAATGTGTAGGGGCAAGCGTTAACAAAAATTAATGTAGGTGATGTTTTGGACAGTGATAATAATTGGGAAGGAGCACTAGATGCATTTGAAGAGAGCTACAGGTATGTTTTTTTCTAGTGGACATTTCTTTTTTGAATTTGAAGATCATAAAGAAGCTTTTTAATCACCATGGATTCTCTAAGGTGTCTGCATTCATGCTGAGCACAAAAATCGTCCTGGATGATTGCATATAAAATTGTGAAATACAAACATTTGATATCAAAAATATCTGTGAGCATGTGGCTCACATAGCTTTAATATGCTGTTTATTTTTTTTTTCTTTGGCATCTCATAGTTTTCACTTGTTATAACAAATTATACAAACTGTGTGTTCACATGAAAAAGGAGTTGTAGTTTTTGTTGTAGGGTGCAAGAGTATTTATATTCAACATGTGAAAAATAAATCTTGAGAATAAGATGAAGATCATCTTTCATAATTCATGAATACATTACATAGGTGTTTAAATAAAACACCAATACATCAATTGTCCTAATTATTTTCTAGAATCAACTTTTTTTGAACTATACATCTTTATTAGCTTCCAAACCAGAACCAACTTGGTTTTCACATGCACAATAGAGTCAATGCAAGAGTGTGAGAGTTAAGAACTGCATTCCTAGGCACTATATTTTCACATTGAGTAAATTTATCATAAAGAACATTAAAGATAGTGCATAGTTTGATGCCCATTTTATTTCTATTCATTTTTCCTCTATCCATTTGTTAAAACTGCTGCTTTTATTTATTAACATCATCATCGCAATTCACATTGTTTTTGAAATGTTGCTATGATGTTCAGATTTTTAATAATCATTTTGTTCATCTGAAATACAAAAGAAAATGAATCTAAATTTAGTCTTGAGAGAGGATATATATATTACGTATATTATGGCTTTAATTTGGTCCGTATGGAGATTCATTTCGAGGACTTGTGAAAGATTCATGTAGCCAACCCCATATTTTGGATAGAGTTGTGTTTGTTTTAGTCAAAAGAGCTATTTGTAACTATTCTAGCTCAAAACATACCCTAGAATATAGTCAATTGATTTGCCTATAAATGCATAAACTTTCTTTTCTGACCCAAAAATAAATTTTCTTGCTTTCAAGGGTTATGTTGAATTCATACTGTATTGTCTTTGCAGGCTTGCGGTTGAGGCGAACCTTCCTTCTGTACAGCTTATGGCACTAGAGAATATGCACTACAGCCACATGATAAGATTTGACAATGTTGAAGAGGCCAGGTAATTCCTGCAAGACCCCCACCGCTCTCGATGCTATGGAAAGTAATGACCAAATGGTTAATAATATAAGACTTTAGGTTGTATCATTATTTTTATAAAATTTTCAATAAGTTATTTTTAAAGGTGGGATACCTCTGTGTAGGAGATTGCAGCTTCGAATCGACAAATTGAAGCAATCAAAATATAAAGATCTTCAAACAGAAAATGTGGCAGAGGATCACTGCTCGGAATCTGATACAGAAGGGAGTGGTCATCTGTCAGATAATATGTGCAATGCATGCGGTTCATCAGAGATAAGAAAATGCAATTCTAGCAAATCACAATCTTTAGCCAGTGTGGAAGAGTTAAACGATGAGGAACCTATAATTTCTCTTATCTCTTCGACCAAAGCTTCACCCAAGGTGAAATCCGCTCATTTAGGAAAACAAAATATTACAACTGAGACAAATGTTTCACAAAAAAGTTTGTCTGAACTGAACACTAATGAGCAGACAGTCATTGGCCGTAAACGTGTTCGTTTAGTCCTTTCTGATGATGAAGATGAAATGTATGATGAGGTACAATGCTCAAAAAGCTGGTCTAAGAAACTCCCATTAGAAGATGTTGCTACATCTGATGAACGTAAGTCTTAACCATTGACTAATTTGATCTTCATATTTTACCACAGTGAAGAGCCATAAAATCTAATGTTTTTCTTGTCTGGTTGCAGTGAAGAGTAAAAGAAATACAGCCAGCCCTGCTCGTAAATTTCAGGTAGGGGCTCGTCTTGGATCGATTGTGGAGAATAATCTCACCCCTGTGTTGTAGTTGGTTTTTAAGTGCTTAACCCTTTGGGTTTTGCAGGATGTCTCAGCCTATACCTCAAATCATATCACAAGGTCTTGCAATCCTGTTAATATTGAACAAAGCTCTAGTTCATGCAAATCCAGGACTCTTAATGTGGTCACTCAAAATGGCAGAGGTTTTAGAGCTTCAAGCTCCGAAGGTTCCATTGCTGCTAGTGGCTCTAAATGTGATATCGGTGTCCCTGAAAATCTAGTTAATAAGAATCACGGTGCCCATCTTATTTTTCTTACCTCTGATGATGAAAACAATGTGAGTGCTAGCCAATTTACTTGTAGACAGATGGTTCTATCTGGTTGCATATGACTCTGCACTGTGCTGTTGCCACTAGTACAGTTTTAATATTTACTAAATTGTGGTCTTTTGTAATTGCAGCAATGCATTACAGTCAAGATTGACAAAGACCTAATACATTTGGATAATGGCTCATTTATGGATTCTGATAAGTTAAGCATTGAGTCTGTCAAGGTTGAACTGGCGTGCTTATACTACTTGCGACTTCCAATGGAAAGAAGATCAGAAGGTAGGCATTTATTGAATTTAGTATGTTTGAAGTTGCTGATAGTTATGGCACTAAAACCTTGACATATAACTTGAAGTTGCTGCAGAACAGACTGGGTTCAATTAATAGTTGCAATCAAGATGTTATTGCATACAAAGATTTTGTTATTTTTTATATTCTTTAACAGAAAGCAAGAAAGCATTGGAATGGTCCTTTCAGCATTTTCACTATCCTCCAAGATGAAAACTAGGTGGATGGGCATGTATGAACACTAGTGTGTTTGAAATAAGTTTGCAGTATGGTATAGATATTGTGGCACATATGGGGGAACTTTAGTAACCTTGTTGAAATAATCTACTAAAGATGATGATTTCACAATTAAAGAGTAGGGCACAGTCTCAGTCATGCACCAGAAATTCTGGCCAAGTGGCTCGCACATTGCTAAGCTTACCTCTGTGCTACTTTAGTTGATTGCATGTGTCTAAAACGATGCTCATGTAAATTCCAAAATTTCTCTAGATTGCATCCTTAAGCGTTTTGGTACCATTGGGTTTAGATTGATATATAAATATATATGTACATCAATCTATCTATCTATCTAGTGTTAAAGTATCTGTTTCCTCCAAAACAACTTGTGATCATACTAACACTTGGATTGTGCATTGTTAGGGCTACTTCCAATAATACAGAATATAAAATGTGGTGAAAGTGTCATACAATCTGTGGAAACATTTCAAAATCTTAAGCAGGATATGGGGAAAGTCTTGGTTGAAGCTTTCATTGATGGTATGTGTTTCAACAGTTTGAAGCGTATTTCATATATCCTCATCTTTATTTATATGATTTATAAAAACCTGTTAACAACTATTTGTAATTGTAATCAACAAACTAATCCTTATTTTGAATTATTTTCATAAATATATCTGGTTGATTTTCTTTTCCTGGGATTTTCTTGTGGGGTTGGGTGGATTTTGTTGAGATGTTATATTTTGATTAAATATATCTTCCTAACAAGTAATTTGTAGAGTATGAGGACTTTTTACTAACAAAAAAAAAAGAGAAGTTAAAGTACTTTTTGGTGCTGTTTCCATCGATTTTGTCAATTAGTTTAGGGTATGGAATCCTCTAACTTTAACATGGCATTAAAGCAGATAATTTATCTGCTATGTCCAATATGCCCACACACGTCATGTGTTTGGCTTAGGTC